TGTGCGAGCATACTTGCGCTACTATTGAGCAATGCCAGACCGAACTTCCCGACCTCAAACGTTGTGGGCGGGACTAAGTTCGGAATGGCACCCAGGCTATCACACCCCGCCATGCTTCTGTGTTTTTGTCTCAGAGGAAGAAGACGAATCCTTTGTTGCTCACTGAGCGATTTGCCCAGGACTCGACCGAAAATCAAACCTTACGATTCCTGATCAGGAGGTGATAGTGAGAGGCTGATCGCCCCTCGTTACCCCCTGTACACTACAGGACGCACCATCAGGCTGAAAGTCGGCCCGATCGGAAAATTATCGCAAGACTGGAAAGTCGCCCCCAAAAGGGAAAAAAAAACTGTGGCATAACAGCTGATTGTTCCTAGATTTAAACTGTTTTTTTGGCCAGTGAGATAGGGGTACGATTGGAATCATATACCTCATGACAGGATGCTTTGCTGAGCCTCTTCTATAGGATGAAAAATTTGAGTTTAACACCTTTAACACTTAAAACAATTGGTTAAAAACTGAGTCATCAACAGGGACTCAAAGTTTTTCAAGTTAAGACAAGTTAAGTCAGGATTGTGAAAGTGACTTGTTGTTCATATCAGTAAAGTTCACATGGGTGTGCCCTACACAAAGTGAGAGGTTGGTCCTCCTCTTGTACTTAAGGCGGTCCTGGAAGCATGCTAACAATAGCCCGCCTTGCTATCACAACGCCAATCTATATTCTATCAAAAAGGCGATTCCAACTACAGGGATTGACCTGCAGGATGTTGGTGAGAGTGGATGCTTGTTTAAGTTTTACCTTTTTGTGTAAGAGACAAAAAAACAATAGTATAGGGACCATGGCTAACTGCTTATGTTGCTAATGCTACATACACGTCAACCTATGCAAAATAAATTCTTGTGTGTACACTTTAGAGAACAAACGGTACAAAAAGGGGTCTGTTTGAGCTTTATTTTCTTTCCTTCTTAAACTGCTCATTTATGCATTTCAGATGGATTTTATATGCAAAATACCAGATTATAACTCTTTTGAAAAATATTTTCTACTATAATGATTAATCTGTGGACTTATTATGATAAAAGCTTTGCTGCTGGAGAAGATATATAAGGACCTGGCAGATGTCCCCACGAGGACGGTGGTGGGGACCCAGTACTTTTTGCTACCAAATGCCCTACCAGGCGGGTTTGAAATTTATATATAGATGGCAAAAAACAGCAAAGAAATATCATTTATCCATCTGTCTGTTTAAATGAAAACCCAACAAGTAACATGAGAAGTAAGTTGAATCTGCCAAAAGTAATGAGAAATAAAAGTAAAAAAATTCTGACAGGGTTTGGTTGAGGTTTTGAGGACCCAAATGCAGAGGCTAGGAGGCGGAGGTGAGTTCTTGTAATTTTAATGGAATGTTCACAAGCAACTGAGGCAGGAATCCAAAAATCCAACATGAAAATGTCATGGAAAACGAGCACAAGGAGTCAGGGAAAGACGAGGAACCAGCACTGAGGAAAGAGATAAAAGAGAGTATTTATGGCTGACTGAACAAAGAAAGGACTAACGAGCTGATTGGGAACAGGTGTGAAGAGAGGCCAGGGAAAAGGAGACCAACACAAGAGGGAAACAAATAAACACCTAAGAACTCAAATACATCCAGAAAAACACAACAAAATAGGAATCAAACCAATAAAACCAGAAAACAAAGCCAACGCTGATTGGACGTTCGTTTGGTGAACGGCTCCAAATTTTCTTTAACGGAAAGTAGCCAGACTGATTTGCGAGTAAAACCTTGAAAGCTCGCGAGATCAGGATGGTCTCACGAGGCTACCATTTGACTGGATTTGTTTCATCAATTGTTCCTCTTTGGTCATTTCCCATTAGGTCCCCTTTGGTTCAAACGAAGACGGCTGGTGCGTTCTGACACAAAAGAATAATATTGGCACCATAAAAAATTGTGGGCAGCGTCGTCGTGTAGTCGAAGCTGCTTGCAGATGGTCTTGTATTCTTTAACATGTTGGTGTATAATTTCCTTTCCAATCTACTGTAACCTCTCTTTATTTTGCTTCCTCTGCTCCACATTAAGATGTGGTACACACCAAACAGCACAGTGACCACCTGCAGCCCTACAGTTTATATAGGCCCTCTGACTGATTACAAGGTTGCAGACACCTGTGATGCTAATTAGTGGACACACCTTAATTGAACATCTCCCTCTGTTCTCATTATTTTAAGTCCTTTCTAAGGGGACCATCCTTTCTGTCAAGGCCTGCTTGATTAGTTTATTATTATTTTTGTATCATTCTGTTAAAGTGTGTGTCGGGTTCATAACATTTTTGCAAAAGAAGAACTGAAATACACAATTATGGATACAATTCCTGCAGAAAGGAGAGACAGTTGAACCCCAGACTCAAACACACTGTCTCCCACTGGACCTCCTCTGCAGAGCGTTTATTAACAGAACATGACACATGGTTACAAACAGAGTATTGTTCTGACAGAACAATTGATCAGTTCATGAAGACAGAATGCTCCATCAGAATGACAAGGCAGGATGGTCTCCTGACTGGATCATGAGACAGGAGTGGAGCATCCCCTTGCACAAATGTTTTATACGCACACATTAATTTTATAATCATCATTAAATAAACCTAACAGCGTGGTTGAAAAGCAATGTCTGACTTTAATTTATTCATCTTCATACAGTTTTTTTTTTGTGTCAGATTCCAGTTTGTGAATGTTGTGTTTTTTTCCTTTCAATAAATCAGGGGTACCAACAGATTTGTCCACTTGTGTATATGTATATATGTATGTACATATATAGATAAATATAAACATATATAAAAACTAGTTGACTCACCCAGGGTTTGCCCTGCAAGCACCCTGCCGTTCTCCCCGATCACAGCCCCCCGTGCGTGCCTCTCGCTGGCATACTGGACGAAGGCGAACCCTTTGTGCACAGAGCAGCCCAGCACTCTGCCATATTTGGAAAAGATGCTTTCTACATCAGATTTCTTCACCACCGCCGTGTTTAAGTTTCCAATAAACACTCGGGAGTTGATGGACTTGGGATCTGTCTTGTTTGTCACATTACTAGTCTGGACCTTAAGCGACATGTTGGGGAGGTGGTGTCTTGGGTGACAGATGAACGTATCACAGGACAGAGAGGCTGAAAGAGAAAAGATACCCGCTTTTAGTCACAGCAGAATGACAGCGAGAGTAAACAACTGTCAAACAATGTTTAATAAAACATAATTACTGCTAAAAAAAATGGCTAACCAGTTGGTAAAGTCCCAATGGACATGAATATCTGGTAAATCGTGCAATATTTAAGGCTCTTTTTTATTAGGTTTTATTTCAAGTCTTCAGTTTGTCTTCAAGAGGTAATTTAGAACATTTTAAAACAGAAAAAATGCAAAAGAGAACATTTTTGCAGGGCAAGTTTCCAGCCTCCAGCAACAGGATGGGGGATGTTAGCTGAATGATAACCAGCAATGAAGCAGTTTTATTATTAAAATAATGGAACAAATCTCCAATGCAGAAATCTGAATTTATTTACATGTTTTTAATATTCCTGAATTATCTTTGCTGGAATATTTATTTTCTATTCCTGTGTTTGAGAAATAAGTTAATGCAAATCATTTTTCTAGTGACCATTTATCAACTTTGATTTTTGCCTAGTTTTTAATGGACTCATGCCCATTTTTATACTAGTGGATTAAAGACCCAGACCCAGAGGTCTCCCTCTAAAGAGGCCTGCCTATGTAGCCCTCTAAAGGGAGCCACCCAGAAGGCATCCTGACGCCTAATGCATTAATGCACCAAACCCCCCACCCCATCACAGAGGAACGAGGGACCTACCCGCTCCAGCCGGTGAACAATACCTCCTTAACAACCAACTCTTAACAATCATAGACAGGTTTCAGGTATTACAGGAGACAATCCCCCCTTAACGACAATCCCCCCTTTAACGACCTACCCTCAGAATCATAGACAGGTTTCAGGTATTACAGGA